TCAACACTGGCCCTTCGTGGCTGTGGGGAGGCCGTGTCCAAACACGGGTTCACGTGATGTTGGGGGTTGTGGGGGAAGGAAGGAGAGCGGGCTGAGGGCCGTGTTGTAGTCCCGAGGGAGGGGGGTAAAGACGAACCACGAGCGAGTGAAGCTGATGCCAAGGAGGAGGGGGGGAGGGGGGGAGGGGGAGGGAAGGGGGGGTTGGGGGGATGGAGGGGACCCCCATCCCGACCTAGCGAGTCAACGGTAGCCCAATGCACTGTGCAGCACTGACTAGAGGACCATATGTGTGTATGTATATTTGAAGGGGACCTGAACACCCAAAGAAGGAGTATCGAGCAAGGCGAGGGTCCGCAGGATGTGTTGTTTTGTTGGCTTATAGCAGTTGGGTTGCTCCTTGCCTTGCCTTGCCTTGCTCATGTCCTCTGCAGGTCCGTAAACAATTCGGTCAAACGTGCAGTCCTAGGGTTCATCATCGCGTAATGAAAAAGTATGGATGCACCGTAGATAGCAATGCAGCAATATGCTTGTATTTATGCGTGTATGCATGTAGTACGTATGTATGTACATAATATATCAAACCTAATGTTTTGCAAGAGGGGGTGCAAAGAAGGGATGTCTACGAGTTGTGTGGGTCGGGGGGCAGGTTGGGTGCGATGATAAGCGGCGCAGCCTAGGAAATCGCAACACCTTCAAGCCTCTCCACAGACGAGACGAGACGAGACGAGGCCCAAGGGGGAGGGGGTCCTCGGACCGACGGCAAAGATGAGGGTGCCGTTTGCGTGTGATAGGAGGTACGATAGTCGACATCAAAACACAGACGCTGCGCTCGCGTAGTGCGGAGTGAGGGCGTGGAGTGGGGCCGTTGCGGGAAGGATGAAGGAAAGGTGTGGGGGACGGAGAAGGTTAGGTCATCGACCGGTTGGAAGGAATGGGGAATCACACGCAACACGCAACGGAGACAAGGAATGAACTGCCGACTTCCAAAGGTCGAAACTGCTGCTGGAGCTGGGAGGAGGGGGGAACTGTCTGTACATATGTATGTATCGCCATTGGTTGCCGTTGGGCTGTATCAAGGGGCTGGAACGGGATCAGTGGTCCCTGCTGCTGCTGCTGCTACTCTTAGAGCGGTGAGCCTGTTGTACTTTAGCGCTACTGTACGTTGCTCTTGCCGTGGTGAGCCTTCAGAAGTCGTAGTAGTAGAGTAATCTCACCCTGTGCTGTTGTAGCGGAGAAGTACTGCATGTATACGTACGTATCCAAATATATACATAAGTATAAGGGCATGCGTACAAACGTACACATCCAATCATGTACCTGATTGTTGTGTTCTCTGCGCAACGAAGCCCATGATGCGGAAATATGGTGATGGGCCCCATCGTCTGTATTTTTTCGGGCATTGTATAGGCGAGATATTCGGGAAAATAGGTGAAAGGTATATAGGCCAGTAAGGTGTACACGTATTATACGAGACTTAAAGGCTTAGGCATAAGAGGCGCATGTGTAAGTGATGGCCTAATATACGATCATTTTTGGCATAGTATTATAAGTACATTTTTACATCATAACCTGTAGCAAGGGATGTTTAGGCTATGCGGTATACAGGTATGTATACACTCGATGTTGTAAACGACATTGCCTATATAGACGCAAGTATACATAATTCCCTATAATAGGACCTGTACAGGCATCGCATAATAGGCTTTTCTTTCGAGTCACCCTTTAGATACACAAGTCACTGCCTTAATCGACCGCGCGACATCCGCATTGCCTCTCTTATTGCATCGTTACGGCTTGAGATTGCACACCTTATTACCGTGGCTCGATCCCGGGATCTCTCGTGAATATTGGTCGCGCCTTACCGGTAGTACTTAACGCAGAATGTAAAATAGGGGTTGTTCTAGCTTTTATACTTAGAACCTAAAGGGCACTCATGAACGTCAGCTGCGTTAGCCTGGCTTGTCGTCCATGCGGCAGCCTCTGGGCAAATGGCCCAACTCCATTTGAGTTTGCTGCTGGCTGCGGCCAAGAAACGTGCAATGCAACCGCCATATGATCCCTAGGTGTAATTGGTTTGCATACAAGTCGACGTAGATACCTCCTGTGACCGCCGTACAGGAAGGAAATTTTCCGGTACGACAACATGTGAGGTCCAGAACCGAACACAAAAGCAGGAATCACCATTCAGAGCGTAAAACGTGGCCGTCCATGACTTATGCATATGAATTCACGTGTTCTCTTCGCGTTTTTCTCCTTCTTCGTAAGGCCAACGCGTCGACCAACGCACATCTTACACCCGTCCGGTCCAGAGCCTCTATAGCAATAATATTGACATAAACATAAAAGTCATTTATGAACATCTGCTACGTTTGCCTAGCATTGTCGTACCGGAGGTTGGGTCGGCAGCAGACCATGAACTTCTCGCCTAGGTAAATACTTAGCGCAGCCAAGAAACATAATTTAGATCTGTTAATTCATCCCATTGGTCTTGGGGTTGCCTTAAAGTCGACGTAGATGCCACCTCCTGTCACCGCCGTATCGGAATGCATTTATCAAGCAAAAGACCCGAAAAGATTATAACCTTGCAGAACTCATTTCAGTGCTTTTGGAAAAGAGGTTTAGACCTTGCCACCCCGGCAAGCCAGAAACTAGTTTCGGTCGCAAAACTTTTGTATTTTCAAAGCATACACACGCGTGATACCTAAGAATACGAGAATTATTAACAGTTTAATACTTGTGGAATTTCGTAGGCGTTTGCGGTGCAACTGGCGCGAATAGGTGGTCTTCCTAGCAGGTCTTAATGACGAGGGGTGCCTGACGGCGTTGCATGGACTCCATCGATGCATGTGCCTCGGCATGACGGGTGAATACAAAACGGTTCATATGCACAGACCTCATAGTTTGCAGCATTTTAAGGGAGGTCAAAGGTGTTTCGCACGCAGCAGCTAGTGCAGCTTTGCCCCGAACACTGTATACACGAGTGGCCTACATAAAGGCATACCTTTATACAACGGACTATTAGGCTCTCACAGTTTTGCATGCGTATACATGGTAACCTATAGCCTACAGGCCTATAGACCATGCTGTATACAACAGATCGCCTATAGGTGTGATGTATACGATCATATACGCGAAATCACCTATACTCCACATATTCCGCGGTCCTACCTATTAGGCGATGGCCCGGCCTATAGGTGACTTCCAATTTTACTGACGGACGTGATTGCTCGTCTACCCCTGGTGCATAAGTAGCTCCAAGCTTATAACCCATAGCACGCTCGCATTCAGACAAAGACAACGTGCCGTTATTGCCAGACAAAGAGTCATGGACGAGCCCCTGCAACGCTCGTACATTTGGACGACTCAAGCTAGGTGCAACACTGACCGGCTCACCTGGCTTATTGCACTGCAGATAGGGTCCCGACTCCGTGGTCTGCGCCATAGCGACGGTGCGGCCGGGTGCCAAGATACTCTGCAGTGACTGTTCCGACTCTGGGCGAATGACGGACGTGACCGCTGCAAGCTGACTGCTGCTGGCCAGATTCGTCCAGTGAACTGACATACGATGCGCGAAGGATCCAAATCGAGCTGCGTCGACTACAACCGGATCACCTAATGCAGAAACTAAGCGATTCTGAGCTGCCAAAGCGTTCAGCCAAGTTGCTTGAGGCTGCTCGCAAACAAACATAAAAGCTGATGTGCGACGCTGAATGCGCTGCAAAATATGCAAGATATTTAAGACGTGATCAGTGACGCAGACGCCAGGCGCTAAAGAACCAGGCTCCTTGCCGACGTCGTGCCAGCACCAACTGGCGAAAATAAACCACTGCGAACCATCACAAGCTCCTGCTGCAAGAAGAGCTCGCTCGTCCACCTTCTTAGGATCCAGTGGGAGATCCAACCATACACGCCAGTAAGCCTCGGGAGAAAACTGTCTGGGATATTCTGCGCTGAGACAATCCAGTCGCGCGGAAATTACCTTGGCTGCCTCTGAGTCAGGCTCCGAAGAGAGATACCTGTCTACATGATATCCGTTGCGGAGGCAAGCCTCTAGACCTGCACACATCCCACCTATGGT